TCTAAATTTTGAAGGGTGTTCCTAGACCAACTGAGAAAAAAGTTATGGCCAAAATACTGCCGCGAACCGCGGTTTTGGACGTAAAAAGTCACTCCCGCAAAAGTAGGCTACTTCTGCTTTTCGTCCGGTTTCTCTCGCTCGCAAACGCGTTTTCGGTGCTCTCTCGCTCCCCCCTACTTCTCTTTTATTTATTTTTATGTTAGTGAAACAGGCCCCAGTGTTTTTTCGGTTGGGAATGATCTCGAAATTTCGGACTTTTTCGATTGAAAATCGGTACGAAAATTACGTCAATAATTGTTTTACGAACAGAGAAGGTGGAACATTTGTATTTTCATAAAATGCATGGACATTTGTTCTCTTTCGCACAGTGAATTTTGAACTTTTTCCCGCACTTGTCGCTAACGCACGGTGCATTTTTCTCCATTCGTGCGGACCGCAAAAGAGCCGCCGAAACATCGCAGGACAAAAACCATTTTCAACGGAGTCGCTGCGACGTTTCGGAAGTGATTTTGCGCGATGAACGAAAATGCACAGTGCAAAATGTTCGAAAAGAGCGCATCGTGCGAAAAAAGGCAAAATGCACTGTGCGCCGGGACAAAAAGTCTACGCACTTTTGAAAGAGCGTACTATCAGCCTGTCGGGAAAATAATGAGCACTCTGTTGCATTGAAAATGGCTGGTATAGTGGACGGACCTGACGCGATCGCCAAAAATGTGTAATTTTGTTTCCAGGAGGGAATAAAATTACCGCAAAATACCTCCCTCTTCTGAGCAAAAGAAAAGGGAAGTATTTTGCTGCAATTTTAATCCCTCCTGGAAACAAACTTGCACACTTTTGACGACTAAATCATTTCATCAAAAATTCGCTGTAAACGAAAATAACATTCCATTCCAAAAAAAACCCCTATACTTCCTCACGATCACCTTTCAGTCTGCTGACGTTAACAGTCAATCTCCCGAGTTTCCAGGATATCCACAAGAGCAAAAACACTTTCCTCTCCACCCCAGCCGGAGATCACAGGGGTGGGGGCAGCACCTATTTTCAGGCCGCAAAGTGTCAGAAATTTGGAAATGTCAAAGGTTGAAATTAAGAAGAGGGGAAATATGGTGGATTGTGAAATTTAGAGCACCACTCGAGACATTGGGGAAGACCTTTCGATAGAAATGTCTGTCTGTCAGAAAAATAATACACCGAATGTTGAAAAAACAGCAAAAATAGGCTTCGTCACAGCTAGACGGGGCAATCCGGTCCGAAAATCGCGGCCCGATCCCGTCTAGGCCCGCTAGTGTGCACTAAACGCTAGAATGCGCTGCACGCTTGTGATAAAAGGCGTAAAAAAGTCTACGTACTTTATGAAATTAATACGATTTTGTGACGCAAATTGTACTACGCTTTTTTCATACCCCAGTTGGCACCGTGTTTTCAGATTTTGACATTTTTCACTGTGCAACGGAGAATATCATTTTTTTGACTTTGTCGCCGCGAATCTTGCACGCGCGACAGACAATTGCACAGTGCGAAATGGCTCTTTAGCGAAAAAATGTCGATGCAATTTTGAAAAAGCGTAGTATCAGTCTGCCGGGAAAATAATGAGCACTATGTCGCATCGGAAATCGCACCGCCAAAAATAAATTGTCTCGGCAAAACTAAATTTATTTTCACTTCAGCGACGTGACTTCTACTCCCATGCCGAATTTCAGCCTTCTAGCTCAAACGGCTAGCAAGATATGGAAAGAGAAAACAAGCGCATTACGAAAAAAATAAAAAAAGTCGCGGAGATCGGTTGCGTCCCAAAAATACAGAATGCCGTGCGACGCGATCGGCGCAGCGACGTTGCGCTCATTATTTTCCCGACAGACTGATATATATTTATTTTCATTTATATCAGTCTGTCGGGAAAATATCGGTCTGTCGGGAAAATAACGGCGGATCGTCGCGCCTCGGAATTGCCCATCATCGCTTTGCGACTGCAAGCCGTGGTTGGGAATTTGATGCGCGATAGCGGCAAGACGAGAAATTTTGCTGCGACGACCCGCCGTTATTTTCCCGACAGACTGATAACGGCGGATCGTCGCGCCTTGAATCGTCCATCATCGGTTTGCGACGGCTAGTCACGGCCTGGAATTTGGAACCCGACTGCTGCGAGATGAGACGTTTTGCTGCGACAAATCCACATTATTTTCCCTACACACCCAATATTTAGCATTTCGTCGCATTGCAAAAATTGAACTAGCAATATTAGCAAGGAACCCGCCGTCTTTTTCAGAGGCTTTGAAACCGTCTTTCAATTCGCACTTCCCACATTTAAGTAGTAGTACAAAGTCGAAGCGATCAAAGCATACGAACCGCACCTCCTTTTGAACCGCAAGAAACCTTCAACACCTCTACAGTAATCCCAATTTGCTTCTCAATTATCGTGATTGCAGACCTGACAAATTGTCATCCTGAGGTCGCATTTTGATTGAAAAAGCGGAAATTCCCTGAAACTTTCACACTTGGCCAGTTGAAAAGGCCAACAAACAACATGAGAAAACACCTCGGGCCCTTCGAGAACAAAAGCCATGTCTCCGGAGCTGATAATTCATTTTATTTGAGACATAAATCTGATTGATTATTCTGCCGAAATTGATCAAAAAAGTGTTGAGGAAACTTTTTGAGAGATTTTTTTTCGGAAATAATTGATAGAGATGATTCTAGAATAGCTTTTTTGGGGTTTTTTGTGAAAAAATTAGGAAAGTTTGAGGAAAAATCCAAAATATTTTTTGATTTTTTGTGTAAAAATTATGAATTTGTTTCACAAGGAAAGTTCTACTCCACCCAAAAAAAGTCTTGAGAGTTTGCACTATGCAATTTTTGAGCTATTTCGGGACAAAATGACAATTGGGGAAACTGAAAAATCTTATTTTTCTTGCATGTAAGTGTCGAAGTAAGGATAATCGATGGCTTTGATTTCGAAAATCATATCCGTTTTTCCTAGCCGTTACTTTTTTCTCAAGCAGTACCGTAAATTAGTAATTTCTTGAAGTTTCTTCACAACTAATCGATTTAGGGGACTTCGACGGTGCTGATTTCAAATCAAAAAAATAATATGATTTTCGAAATCAGCGCTATCGAAATCCCCTAAATCGATTAGTTGTGAAGAAACTTCAAGAAATTATTAATTTACAGCACTGCTTAAGAAAAAAGTACCGACTGGCAAAAATGAATATGATTTTTGAAATCAAAGCCATCCATTATCCTAATTTCGACTTTCTTTACATGCAAGAAAAATAATATTTTTCAGTTTCCCCAATCGTCATTTTGTCCCGAAATTGCTCAAAAAATTGCATAGTGCAAACTGTCAAGACTTTTTTTGGGTGGAGTAGTATTTCTGTTTTGAAACAAATTCATAATTTTTACACAAAAAATCAAAAAATATTTTGAATTTTCCCTCAATGTTTCCTAATTTTTTTACAAAAAACCCCAAAAAAGCTATTCTAGAATTATCTCTATCAATTATTTCCGAAAAAAATCTCTCAAAAAGTTTCCTCGACACTTTTTTGATCAATTTCGGCAGTATAATCAATCAGATTTATGTCTGTTTTATGAATTTTTTCACAAAAATCCCCAAAATTATTCAGAATTATCTCTCGCAATTATTTCTTTAAAAAATCTCAAAAATTTTCTCCAACACTTTTTTGATCATCTCCGTTTTCTGTGAACTAGTGTAACGCACAATTCTTACTTCGAAAATTCGTGGTCGTCAATAGAAATTTTGCAAAAAAAAACTTTCGCTTTTTTAAAAACTATTGCAAAATTCAAAAAAAAAAAAAAAAAAAAAAAAACAGTAACCTCCATTTCCAAATGGGATAATCGAAAAGTGTCGTGCAGTGGTGCACTTGACACTAGCTTTTTCATCGCCAATCATCCGGAAGTTTGGGCAAATTTTGCGCTAGAAATTGTCTGAAACCGCCGGATTCGATTAAAATTTCAAAGTTTTCAACCAAAAATTGACGATAATTCTCGTTGGGAATAAATTTACCATAAAATTTTCAATCTTTTTCTACAATTCAAAAAAAATTTTTTTTTGAAAATGCAAAAATCTTTTTAAAAAACACCCAAAAGTAGGTGCAAACAAAATTGTGAACTCAAATTGAGTATCGTGTCGGGAAATGAGTGAGCTCCCACTCATTCTTAACTCGATTTGGATTGCTTTTCGCACTGACGCACTTCAAATTCGGGCGTTCGTTTCCGGCCTTGTCTGCATTTTATTTTTTGCATTTTTAATTCAATTTGAGTGTTCTCTGGGATGTAAAAAAACTTTTTATGAGTCTCGAAGACAATTTTTTTTTTCATTTTTTTAGAAAAAAATTAATTTTGATAAATTTGCATATTTAAAAAAATATGCACACTTTTAAAAGATTTTTTTTTCATTTTTTTGTAAAAAAATTAAAAAATTAATTTTCATAAATTTGCATATTTAAAAAATTATGCAAATTTTAATTTTTACAAATTTGAATATTCCAAAAAAATAATAAAAAATCCGAAAAAATCAAAATTTTCGGCAGTAATCATTTATTCAGAACAAAAAAATTACTGTATCAAAAAAAAATCAAAATTTTCAAAAATACGAATAAAATTTGAGAGATAAAAACGCGTTACGACAGGGTTTTGCCTACTTCCAAGTAGGGAGTTTGTGGGTTAGTTGAAAGATTAGTTAATTTGGAGAATCATTTTCGGAAAGATCATTACTGTATTAGACTTTGGGCAAAACTTTCAAAAAACATCAAAATTTGCCAAAATGAAAAATTTGTTTAAATCAAACATAGTTCGTAATCTGATTCAAAACAGTCTTCTTCAACGTTTCTATGTCAAACGCCTAAGGCTTTTTGACTATTTTTATGGAAGACAAGGGAAAACAAGAGAAATTTAAGATCATAAAAATAAAGTTAATTCGTGAGAAAGCTCAAATATACATTTAAAACATCACATTTGAGTTCTTTTTCGCCATTTCAGGCCGGTTAGTTCCCATCGGAGCAACGCTTGACTAAAAATGAAATTTTTTAAAAAATTTCTAAAAAATCAAACTCAAAAACATAAAAAATTAAAATTAAGCCCTTCAGGCAATCTGAAAAATGCATTTTTAAGCTTAAAAACCTCCTTACTTTTCATAAAAACTCAAAAAATCTTCAAAATCCGACAAAATTTCAAAAATCCCCTAAGGGCATAATTCGAAAAAATCGTCATTTCCAGAAAATACAAGCCCTATACTCTCTAAAAATCACCTTTTCCACAAAATTTCATCAATTCTTTCATAACTTCTTACCAAAACAATCTTTTCCCCTACTACAATATAAATTTCCCCTCAAAAATCCAAAATTCTCCCCTTTACCTTTCAATTGAATGTTGTTATCACTGGCCATGGCCGAACTGGGGCGTTTTCTGTTCTTCTTGGACAATTTTTCCTCATCCACCAGGGACTCTTCCTTGTCAATTCCCGACTCCTCCAGGATCGAGGTCTCCTTCTCATCCACATCGAAAATCAAGCTTCTATCCGGGGTTCGGACCCTCTTCTCAACGTCCGGATCCACTTCATCGGAAGTTTCAAAGTCCAATTTTGTTAGGGTCTTCGTCTCCACCGTCTTTTCATTCACTTCTCCGTTCAGCGATCCATTCATCAGGTAATGGCGACGCTCCGCGTGTACATTCAGCACCCGTACCGGTTGATTGGCAGCGTTCGGACCGGCCGCTTCCAGGCTGCGCACAATTTCCTCGTCGAATTCGTCAATGGAGTCGAATTCTTCTGGAATTTTTTTATATTATACTTGGTCAAAAAAGTCAGAAAAATCCAAAAATTTTTTTTTTTAAATTTTTCCAAAACTCTTTCTAAAGTAATATTAACCTTCTCTGAGATATATTTTTCACTTTTTGATAAAAAATCCAATAAAAAACCAGCATTTTAAAACCAAAAATTCGATACTTTCAATTTCAAAAAAGTAAAAAAATCCAAAAAAAATTTTTTTTTTTTTAATTTTTCCAAAACTCTTGCTAAAGTATTATTAAGCCTCTCTGAGCTATATTTTCCACTTTCTGATAAAAAATTCAACAAAAAATCAGCATTTTAAGCCCAAAAATTCAAATTTTTTCGACGTCAAAACCAAAAATTTTTGCTCCTAAACCCCAAAAAAAACCCCTCAACTCACCTCCATTTGCATTTACTTCCCTCTCAACTCTAATGGAATGTCTTTCATAAACATATAACGGTCTATCAAGATGTTCATCTTGATCTTCATCCGTCTCTTCTTCCTCTTCATCCGACTCGGACTGATCCGCAAATCCAGGTCCACGAAACTTTTGCGTGTAATCTTCCGAGTTGACCTTGATCGACAACGAGTCCAGCTCGGGGTCGACGAAGCGTTGACTTAGGTTTGAGACCAGGGCGATGGACCTTGGGGATGCGGTGAGATGTTGTTCCAGGGACAATTTCACATCCACCGAGAACTCTTTCGTGGGTTGGAGAGGGGCGTACGGGTCGCGGGCGGTGGAATGGAACTAAAAATTTTGAAATTCTAAGTATCAAAACTCTAAAACAACTAAAATTTAGGTTTTTTCGGGTCTAAAACAAGGTCCATTGCCAAAATCAAAATTTTCAAGAGTCCAATTACACTATAACCGTTCTGAAAACCTACTCCAATACACAGTATTGACATGTTATCACTCTTGAGATTTCTCCATCCAGCGATCGTCTTCTGCAGCAAGTATCTGGCCGGATTTCGGACTCGATTCTAAACATCAAACAAAAAAATTAAAACCACATACATTTCGAACTCCAGGATGAGCTTCCCACATATGATCCGCAATTTGAGCCGACTTTATGACATGTGTTATACCATCCGTAATTAGCACTAGATATTTATCTTTGGAAGTGAGGGGACGAACGTCCAAGTCCGGCTCGGGGCTGACCGCGTATTTCATGGTGGTTGGGACGAAAGACCAGTAGTCGCCCAGCGAGCGGGCAATGGAGAGGAATGGCACGGATTCGGTGCGATCGGAATGTCGACGGACCCACATGACGCGTGGGACCAGAGATACCCGTGAAACGGAGCCGCCGTCACGTTCGATTCGGGCCAGTTCTTTGTGATCTTCGGGCTTGTGATCGGCGGTGAGGTCGGTGTGCGAGAATCCTAAAAAAAATAAAAAAAAATTTGATATCAATGTCATGTGTAATATAAAAATTTTTTGTTTTGAGCAAAAATCCTACCCATCGAAGTTTCTCTGACCAAAACAATCCTTGAATCTCCGCAATGAGCAGTGTAAATTTTGCCATGACGTATCAGCGCACAACTAACAGTAGTTCCAGCTGTTGACGGAAAACCGTTGGCTCGAGAGGGCCATGAGACATGAACATCCTTCATTTCCTCATGAATTTGCAGGAAAGTCGCTTTCATTGCTTTCAGAACAGCCTCGCTATCAGTGGATTCGAATCCCGGAGTCGACTGCAAGATTGGCCAAAGGTGTTCTTTCACGTAGGAGGAAGCTTCAGGCCCGCCATGACCATCCAAAACTGCGACGAAAATGCCGTCAATCTCTTTGTTTTCATCTCGCATCAGTTCTATCACAACACGGTCTTCCATATATCGACGACAGCCCTGCAGAAATTTTTTTTGATCCAGCAAGGATAATATCAGAAAAAATGATTTTTAATGTATTTACTTTCCGTTGAAACTTATCCAAAAGAAAGAAAAGAATTTTACTACTCAATTAGAAAGTATTACAAAGAAGAAAGTATTACCATTTTAATTAACTTGGCCATGCAAAAATTCAACTTTGTCTTAGCTACCTCTTAATCAAATAAAATCTTAAAAACCTCAACAAATAGCCGCTAATTCCACTCGCAAAAACTCCGACCTTGATCTACATCCGATCAAAAGCACCCCTTCAAAATTTCAAGCAAATCCAACCACGCCGCTTCAAGTGCCTTGTAAATCAATACAACCGATACCTAAACCAATAAAAACCAAAGAAAAAACGTACCCGGGAAGCTGCCGCAGATATGGAATACAACATGCTGCTTTTCGATGGGAATCCGCACCCTGAAATCGATCAACATTATCCACTTGACAAAAAATCAATGAATTTTCGCGAAGTCCAAATAACTCTCGCCGGATAGCAAATTTACTACAAGAATGATGTCGAAAGTGAATGAAATAAATTGCAATAGCCCGCATCGACGTAAAGTGGGATTATCCAGCGGATTCCGACTAATCCGGATACCAGCGGCCGAGGAAGCGGATAAATTTAATTTTAGGTAACATTATACTTGCAGAGTTGATAAGGGAGTGTAAATGTGGGCTTTAAAGCTGTTATGATACACAAGAAAGTAAAGCGACATCAAGTAATCGGTAATTCAGTCTGCGGAACGTGCAGAAAGCGGGAATTTGGTGGACTTTTTTTCCAGACATTTTATTGCTTTTGGTTATTAGTTTTCGTGGCGGGACGCACCGAAAATATAGATGTGAAAAGGAAAATTTGTAAATTTTCAGAAATTTTCGATGTTTTCACCTTGAAAACGAGTAAATTACATAATAACTTACTTCGTAACTTTATTTTTTAAAATTATTTTACCAATATTCGCTCTTTTCTGCCAAAAATTTCTCCAAAAACACGTCTTTTTACCGATATTATTCATGAAACTAAAAATTCCGCTCATATTTTACCTTGAATTACCTTCTTTTTTCAGCCATTAGCTCAACAATGGCGGACATAAACGGGTACCGGAATCTGGACGATCTTCCTTATGTGGTGTGGCTTCACATTTCACATTTTCTTAACATAGGTGATCTTATAAATTTGAGCCAAACATGTCGAAGTTTGCGGATGCAGATTCAGCCCAGTTTGTTGTCACAACGTAGTCGAGGTTTTCAACGTTCCAAGCGGCTGAGATGGTGAGATTTAATAATAATTTTATAATTTTTCTTTTTTTTTTAGTTTTTAGGTGTCTAAAATAAGGTCAAGAATTTGTGTGGCCTTTATCATGAAAAAAAATTATGTAATTGTATGTTTAGGTACGAAGAGGCTTCGATGAATTTTGGAGCAAGATTTGGACATGCTATGTGTTTTCATAAGCCTCAAAATCGGATATACATCTTTGGAGGGGTCAACCAGAACATGGCGATGTTAAATGACCTCAGACACTTTTGTTTGGTAAGCTTTCGCTCTTAATTTTTTCTAAGCTTTAGAAACAAGGTCTGAACAATGTTTTCAGAGGAAACGTCGATGGAGTTTAGACGTCTACGAGTACCCACAACTTGATGGACCTGAAGCAATGTCATTTGCAACGTTGCTCTCGTATAAGGACTCATTGATCTTGTTTGGTGTGTTTGTGAACGATTATGGTAGTTCATTTCGGATACTGGTCTTGGATTTGATTTCAAAACAATGGAACACAGTAAGAAGAACATTTTATATTATACATGGTGTCCTAAGTTTAGATCTATCGAAACAAGCCGACGGATGTGGCTGGCAACACAATTGGACATTCAGCAGTTGTGATGGAGGAGAAAGTAATATTTTTCGGTGGAATTACTCGATGGAATGAGGTTACCAACAGGATCTTTGTCTATTTTCCGGAGACAACAGCGATTCAAGTGGTCGATGTTGAGTGAGCATTTTTATGCGAAAATTTTATTGTTTTAAGATATCTAATGTATGGTTTTGCAGTTATCCTCCAATTCCACGAGTCCTCCCAGCTTTGTGTGTGCTGGATCAACGAAGAATTTTGATCATTGGCGGCCGATCTTCACTTCAACAGCCTTTCACAAGACACGAAGATGCCTTTCAAATTGATTTTGATGATGAATTTAAAACTGCGAAATGCACTAAATTAGAGGTAGATTTTCTTAAATTATTGTTGGATTTGGCTTTTAGATCGAAAATCCAGAGATATTTCCGCCTTCAGTTTATGCTCATACATCAACGGAAGACGGGAAATTAATAATTGTCTCCACACCAGCAAGATGCTCTCATGTCTCGGTTGATTCCCAATATTTACAAAGATTGTTTCAACAAGGAAAAGCGACCGAAAGATTTTTTGATGTAAGGAAATTTTGAAGATGTTATTTTAGGTGATCAAAATTTGGAATTTTTGAAATTTTTACATGTAAGATGATGGAATTGCCTTAAAAAATCTGTCGTTTCAGATAAAGCATGAAAAACTCCCCCTGTTCCTTTGTTTATACCGCAATAAGGCGGCGGAATTGGGAGAAATCGACCATTCTTCCTATCCGAAACCATCAAATGTCTATCAATTTGCTTCGGCCATCAAAAGCTTCGAACACACGGCTCCGATTCGACTCTCCACTTACATAGAGGATGATCAAAGCTTTCTGGAGACCCTGAACTACTCATGGAGGGACGCTGTCGCCACAGTCGAACGCCTCAGGGGATTTACGATGTATGCCCATGACCATTTTCACTGCCTTTTATGGCTCACTCGTGATCATCCGACTGACAAATGCAACACTCATCAAGGCTCTATGATGTGTTATAAGGTCGGAGGATGCGTCTACAACAGCTTGAGGCAATTTTATTCGAGGGAAACGGACGATTTTGTAATTGGACTTCTAAAGACGATGTATCAGTTATATTGCCTTTCCCAAGGCGGATATCCCACGAATTCGCCATTCCCCCCGCTTCAGGATGATCCAGAAATTATAACAGAGCCTGTGATATCGGGTAATACCTTATTTTAGATATTAATTTTAACTTTTTTGCGATTTTTTTCGAATTTTTGCGATTTTTTCGAAATTTTTTGTAATTTTGACCTTTTTTTAGATGAATTTCCAATTTCGAGACTGCTAGAACTACAAACATTGGTGCCAGTCCACAGAACTATCATTGACACCCCGCTGAGCTCCACTTTTTTCACAGTAGATCTCAATTATGTCAGAGAAACGGGAAAAATAAGGTAAAAATTTTAATTTTAACCCAAAAAATTTAGTTTTTGTATTAAAAAAAGCGTTTTCAGGTTTTCCCAACAAACTCCAGCCTTTAACTCCCCTCATTATCAGCAATATGCTCCGGTGGTATCAACGAATTACGAGTTATTTACGTGTGGAGGCGTCGATCCCATGGTAAATGATGTCAGCTTCACAATGGAACGCCCTCTCATACTAACTAATCGAACGTATACGGGTTATTAATACGGGATTGTTTGAATTTAGGTATTTTGTTTAATTTTTTCATCTCCGAGTGTTGTAAATAGAGATTTTATACGGGAAATTTTTATAGCTGCAATAAAAGTGTTATTTATTGATTTTTGTTGGATAAAACGGTCTAAATGCGATAGTTCAAGATGTTTTGGAGGTAATGGATACTATAGTATCGAGTTTCAGCGCTTTTTCTGCATACATGAATAACTTAAAATGGTCCCACCACGAAAACGAGCACTGCCAAAAATCTTGGCATTCTGCAATTTCTCTTCTTTTTACCGGAAAACACTGACTGACACATAAATAAACTCACCTTTGATGAACTTTCTACTATTTTATGGTGCATTCGTTACCATGGTTAATTTTTTTATCTTTTTTATATTGATTTAGATATCAAGTCAAAAATTTTTTATTTTTTTCGATTTAGCTCTTGTTTTGATCGAAAATTGATTAAAACAGTGTTTATCCGAGGTGTTTTTTGCGTGTCACAGTTTCAGCAACGAGTTTCAGCCAGCAAAAATTATTTTATCATTGATTTTAGAGAATTTGGAGGGTCAAAAATGGTAAACGATCCGAATCGAATATTCGACGTGGAGATAATTGGCCATGAAATTGTTGATAAACACGTGGTAGGTTGCTCTTTGATTTTGTGGATTGAAATTTAGGAGTATCATATACAATGCACTCAATCGGCGAGGAATTGGACGATAAAACGGCGATATCGGGACTTTATTCAACTGAAAGATGAATTGGTGCCTCTTGGAGTGGAGTTGGAGCTACCGCCGAAGAAATTCTTTGGCAATACGAAAGAAGAGTTTGTCAGTGAGCGACAGGTCAAACTGCAGGTGAATTTTTTGAGATTTTTTTTTGAAGTTTAGGCTAGAGGTGATCACCATCAGAAAAAAATTTTTTTTTATGGGGAAACCCGTAAAATATTGATAGTTGAAGGTGTATTCTACAATAAAATTTGTCTCTAGAGCCTTGTGAATTCATTTTTAGGCTAAAAATTTGGCCTGCCATATGTTTTTTTGTATTTTTCTGGATGTTAATATCATGTATAATGTTTTAGGAATTTTTGCGTCGAGTTGCTTGCCATCCCTTCTTGTTTTGCTCACCAACTGCTGCTCAATTCTTTGAACTTTCCGAGGAATGTCTAAAAAGTAAGAAAATCTTATTTTTTCCTTGATTTTTAGAGATTTTCCCAATCTTTTATATTATACTTCCCTCCATTCTTAGATTATGAAAATTACATCCTGTTTGCGGCCCGAAACAACCCCTCATACCGTCTGAAACGCCTCTGGCATGCTTGTGGATGGCGTTATTACAAGATGCACGCCGAGCTGACCGACTCGGAACCTCATAATGATAATGATTACGTGCTCACGTGGATGTCGTATGGGCCGGATTCGGATGGAACCGACCCTCGAAAACGAGCCAACTTGACTTGTGATGCGTTGAAATTCCTGAAGGAGTTGCCCAGCAATTATTTTGCGAAGAATTTGTTGGCCTCGGCGGACGAACGAGGAGTTCATACGATTTCGAACAAGTTGAAGAAGGGCAATATGAGAGATTTCAATTTTATGGTGGGCTTTTTGATGAATTTGAATTTTTAAATAGTAAATGTGAGAAATCGGGACATTGGGAAAAATTTTTTTGGAGTTTTGAAGCAAAAAAAAATAGTAAAATTTTAGGTACCTAAAAAAGTTAATCACTTCGATTTTCTCCAAATTTGGCATAGTACCTCTGAATAGGTCACAGATCAATTTCTAAAAATTTCAGTTCGCAGATTTTAATGAGAGCGGAGATATTCAGCGAAATTTTTTTCGAGAGAGCATGAAAAATGGGGAGACGGCTAGACAAAAATTAGTTTTTTCCCCATAACTTTTCGAACTTCGCTTGGAAAAAAATAATTTTTTAAGGGAAAATTTTTGAGCTCACTTTGAGTAGATTCGCAAATTTTCATTTTGAAAATCGAAAAAAAAAATTTAATTTTTGAAATTTTTTATTTTTGAAATTTTCTTTTCAAAAATCTCGGATTTTTTTCTAAAATTAAAAGCTAGAGGTCTGAAAAATACCTTAGAAAATGATGGTCAAACATTAGACCAGTTTTGGCAAAATTCAAAAATAAATTTCGATATTATTTTAGGTCCAACCAAAAGACTCATTCCTGAAAAAATACCGCCTTGGCACCCTAAACAGCGTCTTCAACGACAATTACATGGTAAAAGAGATCGTTCACTTCACTCGGCAACTCATTGAGATCATCAAACTTTTCGATTCAATGGATTATCCCTTCTGTAAGCAATTTCCCCCTATTTTTGATCGATTTTTTTGAATTTTTCTTAATTTTCACTCGTATTTTAGACAATTTCCACTGCGGAAACATTGTCCTCGCCGAGAATGGACTGATTTCTTTGATGGATTACGAATTTGCGTTAACGGGACATTCAAATAGCGATCGGGAAGCCCTAAAAAGATCGAAGGCCAGGACCGTCCAAGAAATGAGGATTTTCCATTTGGGCGCGACAATTTACGAATTCCTGACCGGCTCGATTACGGTGCCGTATCCCGAGGATATGGACGAACTTTATGAACATTTGCCAAGGGAATTTAGTAAGTTTTGGAGATGAAAAGTTGAAATTTGCAAAAAAAAATTTTTTTTTTTTTTGATTTTGCATGGAATTTTCGACAATTTTAGAGTAAATTTTTTTTGAGGAGTATAGAAAAAAAATAAAATTTTTTTTTGATCAAAAAGTTAGATTTTTTTCGATTTTTTTTATTTAGGTACCTAAAAAAATGTTTTTTTGATTTTTCATGGGATTTGTGGGAAATTTAGAGTAGTTTTTTTGTGGAGCACGGAAAAATGAGGAACATTTTTTTGTCAGAAAATCGGATTTTTTTGTGATTTTTTTGAAATTTTGGAATTAGATGTGAGGTGATTTTTTTCCACAGTTTTCTGAAAAAATCAATTTTTTAGACTTGGAAACAAAATTTATGGGCCGATAACTTTTTTTGTCTAGCCGACTCTCCTCATTTTAAGTGCTCTCTCGAAAAAAATGATCTTTGAAAATCTCGGCTGCGACTGCAAATTTTGATTTAAGATTTACCAAAAATAATTACTGGCCTATTTAGAGTCTCTACGCAAAATTTGAGGAAAATTGGGATATTACACTTGCGCTGCCTATTAATTTTTTTTTTTTAATTTTGTGATTTTAGGACAAATTCTCGCTTTAATCTTCGGCCCAGGCACCGAAATGCCCACAACAGATCAACTCCTGTCCCTGCCGCTGTTCAGAGATGCCACACAAGTGGAGCTGCTGGAAGGAAAGTCATTTCAGATACCAATTCATGTACAAAATTTGTTCAAAGACATGTCCAGAAGGATAGAAAGGAGGCTGGAACAGGAAAGAGAAGAGGTAAATAGCTTTTTTCTTTTTCATTTTGACTGAAAATTTCAATTTTTTAAATTTAAATTTTTTAATTAAAAAAAATGTTTTTTGGTCGAAAATTCCAGCCCAAAAAACGCCCGATTTCAGCTGCGAATTGCCAAAGAAACCGCCAAAGTTCAGCGGCATCTGAGCTCGGACGCCGAAAAACAGCGGCGCCGGCACATAATTCAAGAGCATTTGAAGCGAATGCAGCCCAAAACTGAATGAATGTATGTATATCATAAATATAATCGGCGACATAATACTCCAGATTTTTATTTAGATTTGTATATTAGACTTTTTATGCATCAGTAAAACTGTTGAATTTTTCAAAAAAAATTAAAAAAATTTTAAAAAGAGATCGTTTATTACTTCAAAAATATATAAATTGTAAAATTTATAAAAAAATATAGTCCGGAAAAATTTTGTTTTTCCTCCCGGACCACCGGAATATCACAATAGCGCTGAGTTTATATAGTGGCGGAACGGATCCAGTGGCAAAAAACGTGTCATTTTGCATCCGGGAAGTATCAAAAATGCCGCAAAATACCTCCCTTTCCAAGTGAAAAAACTCCTTCACAAAAAGAGCCTTTTTGAAATCGGAGCTTTTTCACTTGGAAATGGAGTTATTTTACCACATTTTTGATACTTCCCGGATGCAAAATGGCACGTTTTTTGCCACAGGATCAGGTCCGCCACTGTGGAGAAATTTACAATTTTTTGCGATGATAAAATCCCTGAAGCCAAAAATAAAAAATTTACAGTGGGAGATATGATCCGGTGGCAAAAAACGTACCATTTTGCATCCGGGAAGTATCAAAAATGTGGCAAAATGCCTCCCTTTCCAACTAAAAAACTCCATTTTGAAGGGCCCCCTCACAAAAAGAGCTGGCGGGCTTTTGAAATCGGAGTTTTTTCAATTGGAGAGGGAGGTATTTTGCCACATTTTTTTGATGCTTCCCGGGTGCAAAATGGTAAGTTTTTTGGCACTGGATCAGCTCCGCCACTGTACATACTTATTATACGAAAAGAAGAAAGACCATGACGTATGGCGAGCTGAACCCTGAGAATATTATGTGGAAAATCACTTCCATTTTTTGAAAAAAAGTTGACGGATTTAGTTTAAAAACCCATCAAGATGCGACCGACTCAACGCCGGATTCGCGTTATGGTAATGTCGAAGGTTTGGTGGCGCCGGAGGCAAGTCCATCATGCCCTCCGGTTCATCCAAACTCACTCCGCCAAAGGTCTTGAGCGGTTGCGTCCGAAAACTGGACAATTCCATTTGAGACTGCGCTGAGCGCAGTTGACGGACCGGCGGAGACTTGTTGGGCGGCGGAGAGATCCCATCCGGCCCTAGAAGGGTTGAGCTGGTCATCTGAGTGGAGGGAGAGCCAGCCGACCCATTTGGAGATGATTTATTCGACGAGTTTGAGTAGTGATTAGTTGGCTCGGGTCTGGCTGTCTCAAAGGTGTGGAAATTGTGTTGAGAGGTGGACATTGAGGGATGGGCGTGTCGTTGGACCTAAAAAGGCGTAAAATTTGAATTTAGAGTGGATTACGGTGGGGGACCTGATCCAGAGGCAAAAAAGTACCATTTTGCTTCCGGGAAGTGTCAAAAATGCGGCAAAATGCGTCCCTTTCCAACTAAAAAACTCCGTTTTGAAGGGATCCCTCACAAAAAGAGCGGGTGCGCTTCTGAAATCAGTGTTTTTTTTCACTTGGAGAGAGAAGCATTTTGCCACATTTTTGATACTTCCCGGGTGCAAAATGGTACGTTTTTGCCACTGAATCAGGTCCATCACTGTAACTTGGAATTGAAGGCGCCTAAGAGCCGATGAGATTGTGTAGAGTATAAAGAAGACGTTCAGCAGGATTATATGGTAGAAAACGTATCCAAATGCATCAGTGAAGCATTGAAATGCATCCTTTTGCTTCCTTCTTTGACCGAAAATATTGCTTCGAAATAAGAAGCTGTTTCGGCCAAAGAAGGAGGCATTCGGATGCATTTCCTTGCTTCATTGATGCCTTTGGACCCATTTCTGCCACATAATCCTACTGAACGCCTTCTATATACCCTACACAATCTCATCTGCTCTTGTCCGGAGCTCTACTTGCCTGTTGTTTCCCATCGGCGCCAGTAAAGACGCTCAAGGTGCTTCTGGCAGTTGGCATGGACTTTAGATGACTTAGACTGGACTTTGTCGGTGAATCCTGCCAAATCTGGACATGCCGAGGGTTGTTCTGATAGATGGAGGCGTTATTAAAGATACCAGCGAGGCTTGTCGTTCCTTGAAGGTGATCTGAAAAGTTGAAAATGAGATTTTTGTCTTGACATTGATGATTTGGCGTTGTAATCAAAAAATCTTACTATTTTTCGCTCGATGCGCCTTGATAGTACTCCGGCTTGGACTGTTAAGTGATATCTCGCTAGCGTGGATCCGGTTCGCTCTCATTGTGCCTCCTCGAATGTCGGCAAACGGTTTGTTCGCATATAAATCATGGTCTTCGTAGTGATCCTCCTCTTCCGGATGAATAGTATAGTTAACAGGCGACAGCTCGCTCAACGGATCGTTGCTCATGAACAGCGGTTCTTGGTAGACTTGCGACTTGCGGCTGAAGAAGTCCATTCTTGGCGATTGCGCGCGATTCTTTGGCCGCTTTCGGACTACTGGCCTCTCTCGGTTCCTTTGCCATTTTCGGCACAATGCGAAGACAATAGCGCAAACTACAGGGATCAGCAGGACTAATAAGGATAGGAGCAGGAGGAAAGTTCCTCCATGAAGTCCTAGGATTCTCCAGGCGCTAGGCTCATCAACCAGAACTGAAAAGAGACCGTATATCGGGGTTCTAATAACCAAATGATTTGTGTTATGGAATGAGATGACTTTTAAATACAGTGACTGACCTGATCCAGTGGCAAGCAATGTACCATTTTGCATCCGGGAAGTGTAAAAAAATGTGGCAAAATGCCTCCCTCTCCAACTAAAAAAACTCCGTTTTGAAGGGATCCCTCTCAAAAAAGAGAGGGGCGCTTTTGAAATCGGAGTTTTTTCGCTTGGAGAGGGAGGTATTTTGCCACATTTTTTTGATGCTTCACGGACGCAAAATCGTACTTTTTTTGTCAAAGGATCAGGTCCGCCACTGTACCAGCGTTTCTACGCTTCTCTTACCGTAGGTTCTTGCGATTCTTGGCCGACTTGACAGTGATCTTCCTGCGCTGTTTTCGGCAAAAATCGTTATTCGGTATTCTGCTCCAGGCAGTAATTCGTCCAGTAAAACTTCATTGGTTGAGTTGCGGACTCGCGCTTCTTCAACCTCACCGCTCGAGGTGTCCATGTAGTTTACAATAAATTTGTCCGGGATATTGTACTTGGTGCCCGTTACATGCTCCCATGAGACCAAAATCGACTCGTGAGAGACAGTTTGGACGCGTGTGATTCTTGGAGACAGCGGGATTACCTGTAACACTTGTGGTTAAAGTTTTATGAACCGCTTACCATTTTTGGCTCCACAAATCCCATCCAATCCGTTGGTGGTGACGAAATTTGATTGAATCCGCCGGTGAAGTGAGCACTCACTCGGAATTGGAACTTCTTTGTTGCGTTGAGCTTCTTCAAGGTGGTGGCTCGCACATGCGCTGGGACTCGGTCAGCTTCTGTCCACAAAGTCGAGGAATTCTCAATTAGAGGGTCCTTTTGACGGATTTCAACGACAAATTCTCGAAGATAGGCGTGTTTCTCATGGGATGCCTGGAAATTGATGGGTCTTAGACTGCTTTTGAGTTTTTACTTACCTTCACTGACCACTGAACTCTCGCATTGTGATCCGCGTCCATGAAGATCACAGGTTTTGCGACTTCAAAAGAGATAAAGTCGGTAGTGTCTTCTTTGGAGCTGGCTGGAGGTGGTATGGGTTTTGGGACGGTTCCTTGCGCTGCAACTGATAATCTTGCGCTCTGTCGGCTTTGATGAGCACCAGAAGCATCGCTGACTTCACACGTATAGAGGCCGGCATCGGTCTCAGCGACACCCACGATCTCCAACGAAGCTGTTCCGACAATTCGGAGTCGTCTGTTTCCCGCGATGTCTAGGTAGTTGCCGTCTGAAAAGGGTTTAGTTAGACGTGGAAATAGCGGCGAATAGAATCAAGAGGACGAAAGTTACCCTTTAGCCATCTAATTCTAAGGTCATCAACCCCCAACGGAATGCAAATTAATTGAACTCTGGTTCCCATTGATCTCGTTGCGTTGGCGGGTCCTTGAACAATCAAGTTCGGGCGGACATTCAGTCTTTTGTCCACGTACAGGTTCATTGATCGGCCCCGCTCCAAACCAGGGCCGTAAATCTCGGCCTCTTCCATTGCAGGCCGAGATATACACTGAACACTTCCGGAGAGCGGATGATTTGACTTCAACGTCACATTGATTGGATTGGTATAGAAATTTGTTTGCGCCGGAACTCCCATCTCTTCCATGGCGTCGATCAACGCGAGCCCATTCACATAGACCATTGGGATTTCGTACCAAAGATTATGAGCGTAGCAGGATAGCTGCCACGACTTGTCGTGGACTTGTTGAGCTAGCATTAGGCGGACGTTGGTTGGAGCGTGAACTATGAGACGGTATGTGATTGTTGGATGATCTGGTCGTCGAAGTTCGTTGTCGTCATGAGCTTTTAGGCCGTGACAAACGTAGTCGTCCGAATCATCAACGGTAACGTGCTGAAAGGACGGCGTTATTCGTACAGTAGCGGACCTGATCCAGTGGCAAAAAACATACCATTTTGGATACGGGAAGTATCAACACATGTAGCAAAATGCCTCCCTCTCCAAGTGAAGCATTTTGCCACATTTTTTGATACTTCCCGGATGCAAAATGATATGTTTTTTGCCACTGGATCAGTTCCGTCACTGTAATAGGGGGTATTTTCTTACCTTTATCCGCAGATTGCCCCAGATCTGTCTGACTCTCGCTCTGTCATCATCAATGGACACGTCGGACATTGAGAAGTCCGGTTTGTTCCATCGAATCACGGCATCCGATATAACGCACTCTAGAATTGCAGTTTGACCTGCCACAACGTGATATTCAATCGGTTCTGCTGATTTGTTCAACTTGGGATACACAATGACCGGTTTTTTGGGCTGATCTGGCCTTCGGAAGCGGATTCCCGGTTCGACCAAAAGTTCCATCGGTTTTGGTGCGGCTCGGGTTAGGTTCATGTAGGGGTTGCGGACCATACAATAGTACTTTCCAGCGTCTACGGGCTGAGTAAGAGCGATTTGTAGGCCAGTTGGAGTGGAGATGAACCGTTGGTTTCCAGTTCGGCCAAGTTGGACACCTTCATGACCTTGTTTCTCGAACCAGATCTCGGGTGGACCTAAAGAATATGGTTTAGAACGCTTGTTATGGATCAATCTCCTTTCTTATTGTCTGATTTCGGAGATGCAGTTGTTCGCTTACCCGGTACAACATCAGGAAGTCCTAAACATGGCAATCTGGCCACTTCTCCCGCTTTCACTCGTATCTTTTCGGTTGCGTATCGCTCAAACTTGGTTATCCTCGCTCGTCGCAGTTTTAGAGGTGCCGAGACGAGCCTGCTGTTGATTGTCGTATCATGCGCCAGATTGACGTTCCTCACAATCGAAGAGCATTGGTACTCGCCTTCCGCGAAATGAGTGGCCTTCAGGACTTTTAGACTGAAATTTCAGATTTTTTTTGATTTCTCAGGCTGTAAAAGGATGTCTACTCAAAGAATAAGATACTAAGAGTGACGGACCTGATCCAGTGGCAAAAAACGTATCATTTTGAATCCGGGAAGTATCAAAAAATGTGGCAAAATACCTCCCTCTCCAACTAAAAAGACTCCGTTTTGAAGGGCTCCCTCACAAAAAGAGCTGGCGGGCTTTTGAAATCGGAGTTTTTTCACATGGAAAGGGAGGTATTTTGCTACATTTTTTGAAGCTTTCCGGATGCCAAATGGTACGATTTTTGCCACTGGATCAGGTCCGTCACTGTAGGTAATCTTCAGCCTACATTCCATCATTTTCGACCAGCTCGGGATGATCCTCCACCAGCTCTTTGATCGGCGTCCCATCTTTCATCCAATAAGTTCTATCGAGCGATGTGCTGGCCCATTCTCCGTTTGGGTCGTACAATTTACAGTCTAATTGGGTGACCCGAGATCGTAGTAAGTAGGTGGAATTGGTCGAAACTATCAGCTCGGGAAGTTTGAAGATCCCTCCGCCTTTGAAACAGGAGACTGTGGAGGAAAGGAGCAATAGTATTGCTGATAATTTGATGGCTTGTAGCATTGCTGACATTAGAAGGAGCTACTCACAATATAAGAACTTTGAAAACGCTGTCATTGAAGATCTGAAATTGTCGAATCTTTGTTTAGAAGTGGTGTAAACGATAAGTCTTTCATAAAAATTTCGCGACACAGAATCTTCTTTAGTCTGTCGGGAAAATAATGTGGATTTGTCATAGAAAATTTTGTCGTTGCAAAGCGATGTTGGACAATTCCAAGGTCCCAAAAATCCACATTATTTTCCCGACACGCCTCAGTCTTTATAAAGCCCCCATAATTTACGAATTTTACCCCAAGCCCGCAAAATTCCCCGCGGAGATGCGTTCTAAACGACGTGCGCGGTGTCGCGACATGGCATCTAGGCGCGCGCATTTGTTCGCCTTAGAATGATGACTCAACTTGGCCATGCAAAGAGATTGCCCATCAGATATCGCTATCGAGGAAAGCGGATTGTAATAAAGGGCGTTCTGTTAGGGTGGATTAGGAAATGCGGGGATGGAGGAAAGACGAGGGTACCCAGAGGGTAAAGTTCAAGTCTTTTAAGGATCAATACACAAAAGAGTAATAGTTTATAGGACCATAGAAGAATTTCAGTTTACAGAAGAGGTGTTCGAAGTGTGAAGCATCGTTTCTGAAGAAATTTGGCGCGAATTAAGACCAAAGTTTTTTGAGGCATATCTGAGATTGCTATCTACAGTTCCTTGCAGAAAAAACCAAGGGTTTCAACCAAGAAAAGGCAAAAATTTGACAGGTATTTTCATGTTGAGAAGCCGTAGAGCAGCTTTCTGAAAATTAAAGCCTTTGTATGACAAACAATTTCAAGGGTACGAAGAGTCAATTTTAGGCTAGCAAGCGAAGTTACTACCTTTAAATTTTGTACACATGTCAGGCATAGGCCAGATATTAATTCCTGAAAGTTTTAGCTCGCGCTTTAGACCCTGCGGCGAGATATTACAAAAACTTTTGCTGCCGAGAGAGTACGCAAAATGCGAAGAGCGGACAGAGAAAAAACTTTTTGGCCATAAAGTTTTTGCTTTTTTCGCGCTGAAAAAGTATTTTTTTTGGAGAGATATTAGCACTAACTAGTAAGGTAGAAATATTCTAAATTTGTCCCAAGTTTGATCAAAATCTGAGCGTTGCACTTGAGGTACTTCACCTGGAAAATTAACCTCGATTTAACGAAACTTGTATATATTGAATAATTTTCTTCCTTTGGCATTCTTTGTACATACAGATGTTTGACTGTAGTTCTAAACAGAACAAACTAAACTCTATTATATTACGGCACCCAACCCACGCTATACCCCACGCCAAACTCAATTACGGTACCCAAACCCCACACCAGACATCCTGTGACCCCCGCATAATCCCAGTTCAGAAACGTTTTTACCACTCCCTCAAGTATAATGCATTCGAATGGGTTGTCATCCTCGTTTTGAAATGTCCCAAAGCCCCTCCACGAAAGATTGAAATCTCGCGCATTTCATTCTCCGACAGTCAAAACAGCTTAAACTTGGGGGCATTCTTGAGAATCGAGAAATTTGAATAAATTTGAATAAAAAATATCAAAACGGAAAAATTAAGGGTTTTCAAGAAATAATTGAGTAAAATACGGGTTGAAATGACAATGCCAGTTTGTCGGGAAAATAATGAGCACTCTGTCGCAGCGGAAATCGCATCGCCGCCGAGAAAATGAATTGTGTCGCGGCAAAATCAAATTTCTTTTCACTTCAGCGACGCGATCGGCGCAGCGACTTTGTGCTCATTATTTTCCCGACAGACTGATATTACGTTTTTTTTCCATAAAGTTCGCAGACATTTTGTCGAGAAAGCTTTTGTACTGTCCATTTGACCTTGTGCACTGTGCAATGAAAATCATCGCAACGCGTTGCAACGCGTCGCAACTACGTTGCAACGTAAACTTTTTTTTAACCTCGTCGCCGCAAATTTTGCGCCTGCGACAATTTCTTGCACGGTGCAAGGCAAACTGTTGTTTTGCGCACCGTGCAAAAACGTTAAAATGCACTGTGCGCCTCAACAGAAGTGGAGGGTTTAGTCTTTGCACTGTGCAGAAAAAGTCAGGGTGCGAGCGACACCCGAAAAGAGCCGCACGGTGCAAAAAAGCAAGGACAAAAACAAGGCAAAATGCACTGTGCGCCGCAAAAGAAGGGGAGGGTTTGGCCTTTGCACTGTGCAGAAAAAGTCAGGGTGCGAGCGACACCCGAAAAAACTTATTGCACGGTGCAAAAACAAAAAATTGCACAGTGCAAGACGAACTTTTGTTTTCGCACAGTGCATGTCGCCGAAATCGCTCCAGCGACTTCGCAAACGGAAAAACAGTGTAAAGTTAGCCAAGGCACCTCCAAAAAAGTCTCGTTCGCATCCGAAAAACAATTATTTTTATATATTTTTCGAGGTGAAAATCCCGTTTAATCCCCTTTTCACACAATCGTTTGCAGCCCGATCAACGAAAATCTTTGAATAGAACTGGAAATCGCGCCCTTTCTTATAGCTCATTCCCAAAGTAATTCGTGATTACAATGCGCGAAAAAAAGGCTTTCTGGACAAAGATCGCGGCTAAAATCATGTTCAAAAAGTCCAAAAAACGGGATTTTTCGAAAAAATTACGTGCCAAATCGGCGAAAAATTTGTTTTGCTCAACAATTTCGATCATGCGATGAGCAAGGAAAAGAACGGTCACTTCAAAAACACCCATCTTCATTTCAAATTTTCAAGGAAATTACAGCAAAAAGAGGGGCCGCCAAAAAAGGAATTCTCATCGAAAAAAGCGATTAGAACGCGATAAATGGTCTTACAATAATAAAAGCGCGCCGAAATTAAATATTTATTTCGATGATTTGCCTCAGGGGATTTTGAATTTTTTTGGGGAAATCGGGATTTTTTGATTTTTAAGGCAAAATAAGGGCGAAATTAGAGTTAAAACGGAAAAATTAGGCCAAAAATCGATTAAAAAGTTGTTTTAGATACTAAAAAACAATAAATTTTTTTATGAAAAATCGAGATTTTTTGGTTTTTAAGGCAAAATAAGGTCAAAATTAGGATGAAAATGCAAAAAATGGGCTAAAAATCTACTAAAAAGTTGCTCTAGATCCTAAAAAAATAGTCTCGAAAATACGAAAGAGCCCCTGGAAATACCCCAAGTCCAACAAAGTGCGAAAATGTTTGGTAATTTTGTATTCCGCGCAAAATTCCCGCACTTTCTTGGAGGAATTCTCCCTCCGATCGCGTGAGAATTTAATCTGCGCTCGACTAGAAGTCGGATTGACATTGAATATTCATTAATTACATGGGAAATGGAGTGAAATCTGGAGGGGAAACAAATTTGAGGTGTTTAAGAGGGATTTTCCGTGATAAAATCGGTGAAAAATTAATAAAAAGTTATCGAAAAGTGATGAAATGGCTTGAAATTTGATTATCATCAGTTTTTGAGAGATTTTTCGGGAAAGAATCAGTCGAAATTTCCTGAAAAAAAAACGGTCGAAAGTGATGAAATGGTTTGAAATTTGATTATCATCAGTTTTTGAGAGACTTTCCGGGAAAAAATCAGTCGAAATTGCCTGAAAAAACGGTCGAAAAGTGTCCAAATACCTCAAATTTTGATTATCATCAGTTTTTGAGAGCTTTTCCGAGAGAAAATTGGTCAAAAGTACCCGAAAAAGCGGTCGAAAAGTGTTGAAATTCCTTGAAATTTTCATAGTCATCACTTTTTAAGAGATTTTTCAAGAAAAAATTGGTCAAAAAGTTGCTAAAAAGCTGCCGAAAAGTGTCCAAATACTTCAAATTTTGATTATCATCAGTTTTTGAGAGATTTTCAGAGAAAAAAATCGGTCAAAAAGTTACTAAAAGCCTTAAAAGTGTTGAAATGCCTTGAAATTGTGATTATCATGATTTTTGAGAGATTTTCCGAGAAAAAATCAGTGAAAATTTACCGAAAAAGCGGTCGAAAAGTATGAAAATGCCTAGAAATTTGATCATCATTTTCTGCGACTTCTTACCATTGGCAATTTTCCAAAAAAATCGAAAAATTCCTTTGTCTCCCCCTTGAAATTCATAGCTATTTCCATGTCCGCGCCTCGAGACGATTCCCCGTCTTTTTGCGTCAAATCAAACGAGAAAATTTGCATGCGGAAGACTTGCGCTCCCGTCTCTCTATGCAAATTTAAACATCATTTTGACTTCTTCGCCCGATCTCCATGGGAGTTTTAATGAACAAAGAGCGCGCGAGGGGTTCCAAACCCAACATGCGACCGCTCTTCCAGTCGATTTGAATCGATTTCACGGGTCATTATTGAGGGAATGCGACCGAAATATTGTATTTTTGGCACACACAATGGTGTGAGAGGAGGGGATTTGGAAGTGCAGGTTGAGGTTATACAGGTTGCCAATGAAAAATAAAACGCTGAGCCCCAGACCCAATTGGGTGTTTGATGCATTTTAGGCAATGGTTGGTAATTGTTCGGTTTTAAAATTCATTGTTAAAAACAAACAAATATGTTATACCTCGTAATGAATGCAATATAGTCCGTTCGTAAAGTCGCTGGAATGATTTCGGCGACGCGCACTGTGCACGAAAACTCAGGGTGCGGGCAACAGCCCAAAAAAGCCTATTGCACTGTGCAAAAAGCCAAAATTTGCACAGTGCAAAGTGAACTTTCGATTTCGCGGGGCGAATGTCGCCGAAAACATTCCAGCGACTTTACGAACGGACTAGTAGTTATATTTATGGCCCGCCCCTTGGCGCAGCCCGGCCCCAACCGAGCGAATTTGAAGGGGGCTGCACTCTTCCGTGGTCACGTCGCGACTTTCGGCCCGGCTCTGCCCCAAGCCATGTCTATTGCAGAGAGGAAAAATATTTACAAAAAAAAATTAAATTTTTCAACTCAAAACTGGCAACGATATGGCCAAAAAGTTCTTTTCTCTAACCGCTCTCCGCATTTCGCCTGCTCCCCTGGTCCTAAAGATCGTTGAATATCTCTGCGACGA